ACAGCATTGCTGCTGAATGATAACAAAGAAGCTGAAATGCTTGTCCAATAAGCTGCTAAAGAACAGTAAACAATGGCAGGATATCTTCCAAAATAATATCGGAAGGGATGGTGGCATAACTAGGTGACCGTCTACTTCTCTATACCATCCTTAAAGCCAACAAGTGATTAAAGAAACAGGAAAATGAAGATGATATTGGTTACTACTTTGCGATGGAGAGTTAGCATCCCTTTTTGTTGTTCGGAATCTTAAATTAAACCCCTTTTCATACTAAATCTTACCTTGCTTTTCAATTAGAAGTCCATTACAGAAAATTTTAATGATATTAATAATACTAATCGAAATCTTAAATATGTCATCAGTTTTGTGTCTTCTAAATTTTTTTTTTTATTTTCTGTTTAAATATTATAATGCAAAAACAAAAAAAAATTTGAGCTTTTATATGTTCAGAAGTATCGAAAAACACAAACACTGCCAAACATGCCCTTAAATTTTTGTGATATGTTTCAAATGGTGTAACAGTTATACCTTTTTCACCATTAAAGGGTTATGCTTCAACATAAGGCCCTCAATCCATAGTTGTGTTGTTGCATATGCTCTACCAAAACTCATACATATCCTTTTGCATATTACGTGAGTAGATATATGACCTTTAGTTTTGAAGGGTGTCCTATAGTAGTTTATATGCAAATTAGCATGCACATGCATAAAGATATAGTTATTTTTCATTTACGAAGGTTTTCTACTGTAAATACTTATTATATGAAGGCATAAGGTCTTTGGTTCTAGGAAAAGGAAGAAAGCTATGCCCTTTTCAATTCTAGTGTTTGTAATACAAGATCTGTAGAAGTCAATCGCCTCTTCGGATAGGGGCAGTATGTGCTACTCTATGAGAACATCCAGATATGCTCATCACAAATGCCGAGGTTCATATAATTCCAATACAATAGTTTCCAGATTACTTTCGACTATTTTATACAGTAGATGTCATTAATACATTTTACTGGGAATCTATATCCGCATCCCTGTAGTAAGATTTAAAACCAAACCAATTCATAGTGTGTTTCATATGTTAGTTGCACCTTATATTTTTTCAGTTTTATGCCTCCTTTAAAACTGAAACCATGTATAGTTGTATAGTTTCCCCTGTAGATGTGAAGTACTAACTCATGTACTTGATAGTGACTATCATCTTCCTCTTTTTATATGTTCTTAGGCTGATTTCATAAATTTCATGTTTCTATGAAAGGAGAACTAAATATGGTCAGAGACTTATGCATCTCCAGGGTCGTATATCTAAATATTTACACATGCAATCAAAGCAATAGATAGAATAGCAAGGGAAGGCAGTGCAAAAGCAAACTGCATAAAAACTTTAGCAACTTTTTGTTTCTTTAACATAAATGGACAGGTATACTAAATGACCAAATGTATTGAATCAGCGAGAAGTTCCAAAAATACCTCTGAAGCACCAGGTGCAATTCCAATAAGAACTAGCCATTTCTCTGTGGGGTCACACTTATAGTTAATGATCTGATTGTTTGTCAAGTTAGCAGCCCTATCAAACATCTTCAAAGGCTCGGCTTCACCTGCACACACTCATGATAGCACAAATTTCTCCATCATCAATTATTATGCAACCCTTTATAGGTTCTCCACGAAATAATAAAAGCCACTTGTTCTATGATCAGTGGATAACCTTCGATTGACCAATGATAGACAGAAGTTTGTGTGACGAGACCCAACATCTTTGGGGTTATCCACTTCCAAAAGACAACCTGCGACAAGTTCCAACATATTAAATAATTATCATTGAATATCAAAAGCAAACGGAAAAAACTTCAACCAGATAAAAAGAATCTTGAAGTTTTTAACATGTTTACCTGCTCAGGCATCTGATGAGATTTAATTTTAGACTTCGCCTCAATATTGAATACCTGCAAGTGATCCTGAGTGGTTCCAGGTATTTTAGCTGCAACATTAACAGATTATAGGTTACTGGAGAGTTTTTGAACAACCTCAGGAAAGGCTGAAAGCATCCATTTAATTTTATTTTTGAATTAATAAAACAACTTCACGCACGCATACTTATACAAGAAATATAAAAAAACCTTGAAAATCTAGTGCTGGCAGCACAGACCCAGAAGAAGATCAACTTCCACAAGAATTATGGCTAGTTATGAAACAGATATTTAACACATCGTGCATCAGCATTCACCAATATAAAAAAAAAAATCATATGATGGAATCCACTTTTCATGAAAATGAACTCCTCGCCTTCATCATTAAAGTCCATATAAGCAGCATGCATGGAGATTTCTTTGATTCAGTAAACCATGTTCTGACAATATGAAACTTCAATCCTGATTACATGGTATTCCATCATGCTATGACCCATTAAATGCATTTATTACCACAAAGAGAGGTGTATGTAGGGTCTTTTGGAAGGAAAAGCATTAAATAATTCCTTAAATAAATGTAATAAGAATAGATTCCTTATTCAAAATGGTTTTATTTTATAATTGAGAACTACCTATTATGACGTGTAAGAACTTGTAGTAGCATCCTCATACAATTAACAGTGTATGGTGTTGACTGGTCAAAACTCATAAGAGGAAAGGTGTTTCTCAAGATTTACAAAAGAATGCTGAGAAAAGAGTATGAAGTTCTGGAAGAAGCATATCAAAATTGCAAATAGATAACCTGGTTCAAAAAAATGAATTATGTGGCAACAGTTGGTTCAACCATTCAAGTATTATTATTATTCCAAATGACCACATCACCATATACATATTTTTGAAATCTAATTTAGACAAGAGAAAAATCACCTTATATAACACAAAAGATAATTGCCGTTTTAAGAGGTAAAAGGCCGTCCGAATTATAGTTGACAAAGAAAACTTTCTTTTTGAATCTTCATTTCCTTACTACTCATCTCTCATTAGCTCACTTGCATTCTCTTTTGTCTCAGTTTACAATGGAGAGAGTGCCATCAGAATTCACTAAAAAATTCCAAGAGAATTATGAATATAAATGTGAACTTGAAACAAGAAAATTGCTTTTTTTCCATTAAGCACTGAATTCAAATGGCTTAAAGCGAGGAGAACAAAAAGTCTAGTCAGAATATGTTTGTTAACTTGGAAACCTACTACTAGTGAAATGAAGAGTTGATACTTGTGTCTTTAATTTGATGTATCAAAAGCTAACTAACAGCTCCTTCCACCAACCCATCACCTTCTTCTTCTTGCCTCTAGAAAGTCATCAACAGCAGAGCATAACAAGGTTTGTTTACAGGGAATCAGCTCAATTATAGTCAAAAAGGAGATGTCAAGCTCATGTCACACATGTAACAGCAGTTTCTTTGTATTGTAGTTATCATTTTTTAGGGTTGAACCATGGTGTCAATTTCTATTATATATGCCATACTAAGATTATCGTACAAGCTTGTAGAAGATAAATGCTTCGTACACAGTTACCTATATAAATCAGTCAAAACCTCGACTACATCATTGGAAAGCTAGTACCTAGTTAGACATCAGAACGAGCTTAGAGACCAATCCAAATTTTCTATTATCTAACAGAACCCATGATAAAATTAATGGTACCAAAGAGTCAATACTATTTCACCGCTTTCATTCCAATGTGATCATATTGATCGACTTGAAAAGTATGTTAGAATGATCAAACACGAGATAACATCAGATCAAAAGAAGACCATTTCAAGCAGCAACAAACAATTCGAACAAAAGATGTGCCAGTTTATATAAATACCTTTAAGAGCAAGAATCCTGCTGTTAGGGTTCATCAGAGCAGAATCCGCAGTGATCGGCCTCCTCAACGGCTGCATCGGCATGTTCATATCAACGATAACGACGCTATTTTCTGGAGAGGTCTCCCTGACGCATATATATTTGTCCGATTCCATCGTGACATGCGTGAACGTGATGAACTGAGGATTGATCCCGATGCTCGGAAGCTGAAGATCACACCAACAACCATCAGAAGACACAAGAGAAGCGTTTCTTTTTCCCCGCTTCGTCAAGAACAATGCCAATCGTCCCAAGAAGTTTCTAACAGATCAAGATTTACACCGACACATCCTAACCAAATCCAAGATCTCCGCCCAAAACCTACCAAGAATCCCAAACTTCCCCGATCCAAAGGGACCGGGGCTCAAGAAAAGAAGACACCGGAAGAAACCGAGAAGGCGGAAGGGCAGGGCGAGGAGACTCACCGTCAAGGCTTCCCGCATCACGATGGGGGCGTTGGCCGCGGCCATGGCAGCCGATTCGGGCCTCGGCTAGGGTTCCGGAAGCGGAGAGAGCGAGAAGGCAAGGGATCTGGCGCCCTGGATCTGGCGGAACAAAGCCCTTACCGGCGATTCCAAAAAGAGACGAAGGAGGTCGACATCATATATAGCGCGGACACACCATACGGGTAAGTCTGCGAAGAAATGAGGTGAAGAGTTATTTGCGCAATTGCCCTATTATTCTTTTAAGTTAATAACATCGCCCAAACTATCGGTGAAGAGTTATTTGACACCCAACAATTATGTCATCATCCACGCACGCAAATAAAATAAATAAACATAAATATTTTACTTTTATAATTATATTAATATCAATATAGTTTTAAAAATATAAAAATTAAAATACTAAAAGTAACTAACTAAGGAGGTAATATGTAATTAGTCCTAATCTTAATTAGGTGGATTTCAATTTTAGTTTTCATGGTGGGCATAAATAAAAATTAATTTTTTTAGGTTTATTTGAATCATATTTAATGCTATTATCTTGAATATATTATTTAATAAAAAAACGTACGTATCTAATTTTTCCTTACAAATAAGGTGCTTTTGTTATTTATTCCATAGAGATATTGATCTACGAAATCCTTCAACTCAGGATAATGATAGTAGATATATTTAATTTTATAAAGAAATTCATTTTTTTTTTCTCATATATGATGTAAGATTAAATTAGGATGTTTCTTGCTGCACATTGACACAACAATAAGATTGTGATATTTCATTCAGCTGGTCATAAATTTAGATTACAATCTCTACATAACCATCTGTGTTGATTTTTGGCAGTAAAGAGAATAACAATCAAGAAAATGGGGAAAAAAAATAAAGAAATACTGATCAAGATGATTTGATGCAGTCATTGGCTCCGGGATCTGGCGGCGGAGAGGATCTTGGCGTACAGAAGCTGGTTCCAGACGTCGGGGAGGCCCGGCACGCACCAGTGGATGCAGTCGGCGTACACGGCCGGGTTGGCCTGCTGCTCCGCCGTCATCACCGCCCCCTGCCGCGTCGTGTGCACCGAGGTGTGGGCGTCCTTGCGGAGCTCCGACATCGTGGTGATGTCTACGAAGGCGATGGGCACCCGCGACGTCGACTGCGCCGCTTTCTTCGCCCGCTCGAACATGCGCATGTCCGTGCCCAGGTGCACGCCGGTCACGTTCGTCAGCGGCAGCGTCTCCTTCGAGCACTTGATTCCGTTCGGATTTCCCCAGTCCGAACTCCTGTTACAAGAACGTAGCATCAAACAGCTCCATTAATCAACCATCATGCAATGACAGGAGACGGGGAGACAAGACGCAAGTGGAGACGAGTGGTTTGGTTTGGCAGGACCAGAGACAGCTAAGCTGTAAGAGTTGGAATTCAAGTGGCCAACCAAATTGAACAACTCAGAAAATGAAAGACTCGACGATGAACTTGCGGCTCTTTGAATAGGATAAGTTGCAACCCTCACTGTCAATGAGAGAAAGAAAGCTTTTGAAGGGACCATAGATGCTTTGGATCCCCCTAACTTCCACAAAGAAATGTTCTTGGATTCAGTGGATCAAGTATCTAACCTGGAATGGAGAGGAGACATGCTCATGAAGAACACGGATGTGCGCCTGGGATCCACGTTCTCATCCAGCCATCTTGACCAAGTCCTCATGACTCTCTCGTAAGCTTGCGGCCTCCCAATCCCATCGTACTCTGTCCAGTTTCTTGCTGAGGGTCTCCTGCAGCCCCAAAACTCCATGATTGGTCGTCCAGTGATCCACCACCGGTCAACTTCTATGGAAGGGATCTCTACTTACAGGACTTTCATTTCGAGAGTGTTCATCCACCAGATGTAGGTGTTGAAGACGAGGTAGTCCACCCCCTTCCAGTGCACCGCGTGCTTCTCGATCGAATCCGCCTTGATGATCCGGTCCAGGATGCTATGAACGTGCGGATCGTCGGAGTTCGATTCCACCAGGAACGGCGCCCAGTAGAATTCCACCGTTGCGTTGTACTCCTGCAAGATCATCGAGATCATCACATCTATAGATTTCCGCCATGAAGAGGGATGCAGAGCATCATATGGTACCTCTGCGATGAAGATGATACGCGAGCCATCCCATTTCCGCCCCTTCTTGCCGGGTGGAATCGCTGACTGCACCATGCACACCATCGACTCCCACTGATTCCGGTTCAGCGAGTCGCCCACGAACATTAGCCGCTTCCCTCGCAGCCTCTCCAGCAGTAATCTCGCGTCAAACCTTGAACGTATTCCAAGCTTAATCCATGAGCAACCGATGCACGACCTGCGTGAAGCTTAAATGATCAAACATACTTGGGCAAGGAGCAATCCTTGGGCTGCCACCTCCACTTCTGGTACATGTCTTCCTTCCGTCCGTTCTTCAAGCACGCCACCTGCGTGGACAGGAACTCGCACTGGTCCTCGCGGTAGAGCGGGTAGTTCACGTCGTCGTAGACCCAGTCGCCACGCGAGAGGTCGCACGTATCCGGCATGAACACGCTGGGATCTTCTCCGGTGACGGACGGCGTTGTGATGCCACCGTCGGCCTCCTTAGCAGCCATCACGTTCGTGACGGCGGCTGCCGCGTTGTCGGCTGCGATGGGCAGTTCTTGGACCACGGTCACGTTCACCCCGGCATCAGCCGTGCTGTCGACGGTGATGGGCAACTCTTGAACCTCCGGCACCTTACCGCTCCCCTTCTTCTCCTTCCGCTGCTGCTTCTTCTTCGTCCCCCGGGTCTTCTTACGCCTGGGATCATCAGCTTTGTGGTGTCGATTGGAAGCAGGCTGTCTTCGGAATTCCACGACGGGGCTGGAGAAGATCACCGGCAAGGACTCTTCCGTCTTGCGTCGGGCGAGGGAGTACTCGGTGAGGGACTTGACGCTCTCGCTGTACATGACAAAGGCAAAGACGACGATCGCCACGACGACGACGAGGACCGGGAGGTTGCCGCGCCTCCGGATGTATGATCCGGCGTGCTTCACGCCGGCCGGTGGCTCCGACGCGCCCGATAACCCAGGCTTCCGGCGGAGGGAATACATGACGCCGTTGAGCATGGCGAGGTCGAAGACGAGGATGCTGCGGCCGTGGTTGCGGTTAAGGGTCGATGAGAGACGGCGGACTTGGTCTCTTTGACTAGTAAGAGGAGGCTGCTTCGCAACAGATGTAATGTGGTTGCGGTTGCCTACGTCTCCATGTAGAAAGCAGAGGAGGCCATTAGAGTTAGGTGAGCGCTTGTTTATCCTCCATGATGGAACTTGTCTTCTCTACAACGAAATAAACATGGTTGTGTGGACCTGCAAGATGAAGAAGAATAACTTGGAGGTCAACTATCACCATTATTGTAGTCTATTCTCCTCCATCATTATTTATTCACATTGTAGACTTGTAACAGAAGGTGTTCTACCTGCCATCGCCACGTTTAACTCACTAACCTCTAAGATCTATCTTTTCTTATAGCACGGCAGTGAAGAGGAGGCGTACAGGAAAGCTTGGCTTTCTTGTAGATGTATAGCCAATTGACAAAGCACAAAAGAACAATCTTGGTTGTCGAAGACTGATCTTAAAGAACTCTCATGTGCTTTGGAAATCCTGAAGCACGGATTTGAAGATTGAGTGAACACTAATAAGCATTCAGAAGCTTGATTTTATTGACAGAAAAATAATGGAAAAATAATGTTGGGCCAGGAAAAAGGTGGACGGAGGTTCTGCAAGAAGGGACATCACTGTTTGAATCGAAGCAGAAGAGTTCGGAATCATAAAGTGATCAGAGAAGAATATGCAGTCAAACACAAGTATTTGGATAGTGTGGATGCGGAGTGAGCAGGTAGAATCTTCTGATTACTGATCCATTCAGTGCACCTCAGTGCTCATGTGAGGGGATTCCACACAAGTATCATGAGCTCATGGTATGGATGTCGACAAGTTTAACTTGTCCGCTCATAATAATGTCTTAATGTCAATTGTTGACATTGGATAGAAAATATTCCAGCACCAACTATGAGTCACGGGCTCGGAGCCGATGTGAAACATAACACGATATCTATTCGACACAAAGAGAAGTTGACCTAGCACGCGACACACTTCCAACCAGCTCTATGCCACACGAGACCGTACGAGTCGATGTCACGTCATAGGAACACGGATGGACCAACCCACACCACAGAGGATGTACGGGTCGACCGCCCACATAATTGCATTGCAAAAAATACTGACAATCATTATTAACCATTGTACCCCTTAGCCACCTCCACATGTATAAATATCGATTACCAATCTTGGGAGAGGGGATGGATTATCCATGGGCTAACTTGAGCATCGAAGAGGTTGAGTTTAAAATTCTCCCTCGACATCGATCTATTATGTAGGATCAACGAATGCAACTCGACTCTAGCTCGAGGCACCCTTGAAGGCTCAGTCACAACCTTAGAGTCGTTCTTTCCAGCATGATCTCTCTTCCCCATCTACCTCTCCCCCGAGGGACCACTTGGATGATATTGTGTTTTCAGGACTGGATCAAGCCGTGCACTAACTCTCAGGCCATAGCATAAAGGTGCAAAACATTCTTGGCGCTAGAAGAAGGGCATCACTTAGTTGGTGACAAAGGGGGGTTGAGGCTGTCATCAAAGGGCGTCTTGTTGTCCATCGGGACATTATCATCCTCAGGGCAGTAGGCAAAGGAGTCTCACTCAACCTCCAAATCAAGTGCAACTACTAATTAGCACATTCGAGGATGAGCAGTATATCTGCTTTGCCAACAGGGGGAAGAAAGCCCCTCAGCAATACTCCATTGTGTCCACCCCATCAACCCACACCTTTTGTTCGTGTGTGAGATTCACCCACCGTGGTTCCAATGGGGTATCTGATGTCAGTTCCGAGAGGTTAGCCATCTATAGGGTCATGAAAGGCTAGGTCTTAGCCCTACACAAGTCTTGCATTAACCTTGGGTGTGATGCTTTCTTCCTAGACCACCTTGCCTTGGGAATGAGCAGGGTATGCCCCCTCGAGCATGGCCTGCAGTGGGAGCACCACCTTGAGCCAACATATATGGGATGTCAGCTAGTTCCTCAACAGAACCCTAGCAAACTTCAACCCCTTGAAGAGTTCCTTCAGAGCATGACACCTTTCGCACCATGAACTTCTGCCTCTTCTTCAACCATTTCGAGTTGCCACGACTTGACCGAGGTGTGTCGAGGGCTTCCATTGATGGCTCGCGAGTAGGAGGTGGTGCTAGCTGTAATCACATC